AAATTTTATAAAATTTTAAAGTGACAAAAAGGAGCTTAATAATGCTTGGAGATGGATTGAATGGGTAATGAAGAAAAATTTTAATACAAGTTTAACATTTGCTGTTACATTAAACTTATATAAAATTTTTCTTCATTACCCATTCAATCCATCTCCAAGCATTATTAAGCTCCTTTTTGTCACTTTAAAATTTTATAAAATTTATGAAATACATTAATCTAATATATAACTAAATATATCTCATGAAAAACAGTTCATATGCAAAAAGAAATTTGGAAGTAACAAATGATTTGTAAGTGATCAATAGAACTATAAAAAAGTGAAAGTACAGCAATATTTAACGTCTCCCTGCTTAGAGCTAGGCAATTAACTCAAATATTCAATTACCTATTAGCAACAATTAAATTGATCAGTGTCATGTAAAATAATTGATTAACTGAAATTACAATTAAGTCACTTAATGTCACAAAAATAAACAGTTAGTGCTTTTGGTTATTAGTATTTTCAGTTATTCAAACTATCTTCGTAAAAAAAAAATGGTTAAATTGATTTATGTCACAAAAATAATCAACCATTTGAAATTAGTGTTTCTAATTATTACTGTTTTAGATTATGCCAACTATCCAATATTGCCATTATGTTTGTTTCTTGTTAAGCATAAAGGTACACAAAAGATTATCTAAACTACGCCCACTGAATGTATTGAAACATGATTTTCAGCAGTACAAGTTATTTTCAAACCTCTCATCAGAAAAATTGATCAGTTAAATGTAATTGATTAATAACCCTGATGATTAATCAATTAGCATATTCCACTAATTGCCCAGCTCTATTCCTGGTTGAATAAATTATCATGATTTATGCTAAGTTGATATTTTAATGTATTCACTACTTCCTTGTACAACAGTTAAACAAAGTTTACATGTAAGAGATACTTAGTGTGGAATTTTTTGTGAATATCTTTAAAGATTTCTGAAATATATAGTGCATGTCTCAATGCAAGGTTTGTGTTTTCTTGCAGTTTTTTTATCTCCATCTTATGTAATATACAGTATAAAGAGGTGGAGTATGTTATATTAAAACAAGTTGGTGCCTCACACATCATTACAGTCCATCTCACCATGCATGGTCATGTTTTATCTAATGATCTTGCATCATGACAATAGCCCTGCCACACAGTTTTCCCTGCAAAAGGTTCTGTTGTAAAACTTAAGTCAAAAGCATACCACTACTCCCTGTTGGCCTTCCATATTACATATAGTGTATGAGGATGACAATTTTCCAGTAACCATATCAACAGTCCATGAATAGATATGTTGTGAAAGCAATAGCTGTACATGTGACTTGTGTTTCTTTATCCAGAGAAAAAACTTTCTTCATTGTATTGCATTATGTTGCCTGGAGCACTAGGTTTTTGGCACTAACCTACGTGGCCTCATCTGTCACTTGCTGAAGGTCTCTTTCTGGATGGTCCTGGTGTTCTAAGATGATCCATATTCATTTGTTTATTTTCCATCAAAAACAAATAATATTCCCATTGTTGAAATTCTAAATCTCCAATTTGAATAGATCTTTAGTATACGAGTGTATTAATATTTTGCATTTGAAAAACAAACATAATTTTGACACATTCTGTTCCACTGAGACTTTATATAGGCTGTGATGACCTCCTGGTTTGCATATTTAAAATTATTTTAATATAACATACTCAACCATCTTTATAATTAATAAGATGTTGTTTTGTATTCAGTGACATTAACAAGTATTTTAGTTATCAAAGATACTAACTTCTTTTTTTCATTTCTTTTCAATAACTGGCACTTAAATGTACTGCTTTAAAGAAATCAGCTGAATCAAGTTTCAATAAATTCACTTCAAATTATCCATACCTTGGGATGACTCCTCAACCTAATTCATTTCTACATTACTCCACAGAATAAATTTTGCATTACTTTTGAGTTGTTTCCAATATTTGTTCTATGTTTGACATTTTCTTTACTCTTGAATATGTGTAATGTACCTAAAACTCAGTCTGTTTTTAAGGTTGCATCAATTGTAGGTAAGTTTTAGGTATATTTTATTCAAATTGTGTCTAGATTTTTAAGGCTACACACTAAATTGTTTTCTGGCTTCAGATATTTTCTCTTTACTTACAACATTCAAAGATTAGACTTGTTTGTAATTAAATAAGAATGTAATAGTGTGAGTTGTTAAAAGTGACTTACTAGCAATGCTAGTAGGTTAATCCTTTGGCTAAGTTGGTAGAGCACTCACCCAATGTGTGACAGGTTTTAGGTTCAAATGTGAGGAGAGGAATATATTCTAAAAAATAAATTACCATACAGGTATGTTGTGGACCACAGATGCAAACTAGAATTCCTGTAACGTTCTGAACAAATACCTCTTTTTCAACTCTACCCAATCAACAAATAAATTGTGTGTAGCTTTTCTTTTTAATGAAAATATGTAAAGAAAGAGCTTTATGTTAATTAACAATATCCAATTTTGCTTATGTTATCCAACAGCTGCACATTTACTCTATAAGAAATTTTATGGTTTATGATACAGTTTAGTTACTTCAAGCTAAACAATGAATAAAACAGTTCTCAAAGACAGGCACAAAATTACTATTTTTCCTTCTAGCTTAAACTATTGTTTGTTAGTTCACTAAATACTTTACTTGTTTTATTAATGTGCATATCTATAGGTATGACTGAATTATGTTTATACTACAACCCTACCTTGAAAACAAGATGTAAGACAGTTTAAATGTATGATAAGCCAATTCAACAGTAATACTATCTCTAAGGTGGTACACCAAAAATTATAAAGTTATGATTCTATCATGCGTATTCTTTATAACAGTATAACCCAGGCATATTACTTAAAAACTTTAAAAGTATGGGCCTATAACCTGGTGTCACACTGTCCTTGTATTATCTCAAAATTTCTCTTGAGAGACAAATTTCCATATTTATTTTGGGGGGGCGGGTATAAAGATAAATGTACTTTTTTTACACTGAATATTGTGGGAACTCAATACATATATATAAGTATAAACATAACTCGAGTAGGTATTCACAGTAATTAATGATAACCTAGAACATGTTTTGATCTGTCAAAGTGTGTTTCTCAAGTTACAAAAAATAAATATGGAAATTATAACCACAGATTGTGATATAAAAAGAAACAGAATCTATATAATTACTATTTTTTCCTCTTAAAAATACATACAATTATTTTCTTTATTGAAACATAGTTAACAAATATACAAACACCCACCAAAATCTCCTCATATAATATTGATATCTATAGCATACTGTAAAACTTACATGTAACTGAAGTCTGATTTTTTCCTGATCCACATACAACAGTCAACCCTAATTACTAGCTGCAGGCCACAGACTCACATGCAAACAACCACTTCTGCCTACACAATTAAAAAGAAAAAAAACAAACAAAAAAAACAAAAACAAAATGTGAATGTTAACTATGTACTTCATATATATATATATATACAAGACAACATGCAACATTCCAACTAGCCACATCAACTGATACACTGATAAAAACTAATGTACGTTTTTAACACATAACTGAGCCACCAATGCCCTTCATTCTTCTCACCCCAAAGGCAATGGTCATAACAAAGATCTTATATTTAATTCAGAACTTGTTTCAACAATGCCCTAACATGATTTTTTTTTCTATATTGCTAAGATTTTTGAGTAAGGCAGTAAAACTGTTTTAATAGATTTACAAAAAATTGGAAAACACACCTTTTTAATTATTTTGCTTCAAATCTACCCCATGTATTATCCACCTTTAATTTTAACAGTTAATGCGTAAAAGTTAAAATAAAATCAGTATGAAAGCTTCAGAATTATGTGGATTTGGCATGTGATCTTGGATACCTAAAAGTAGAAAAGTTTCATCAAATTTTGTGCCAACTCTTGTTCATGAATTTGTTATATCAGGGAAGATCTTATCATATCTTAATTAATAGCCAGTATAAGACTGTTACCACATCATACAAGGATCTCATGCAAGATCATTATCTCACAGTTTAGAATTGAAAATACCAGCTAAAATATGGTTTAGATGTATATGTAATGTTGAGTTAAGCACTTGACATTCACTAAACATGGTACATTTGTTTGCTTTTTTCATAAAATAATAAGAACTCAGAATTACAAAGTTTCTACACATGTACATGAACAATCATTATTTACTACTTAATGATCATAAATAAACTTTGCTTTTCACAACTGACATGAAAGCTTGTTCTTCTAGTAATTTGCTGTTTTGATTTTTGGATATGTTACTGTGACTAATCAAACAAATGTAGAGATGTGTAATCTGATATAGGACATCCTTCGTAAGTACAGTATTAGCATACAGAGAGAACAAAATCACTGAAAGAAATAACAAAGTTACATTACCAACAGCCAAAACATGAGGCTTATAAAACAAAACACAATTTCAACAATTCATACATATGGTATGTCAACTTTCTTTCACAAAATACTACATGCAAAATTAAGCACTGAAGATGAGCTTTACAAGATCATGCAACTACTCAGAGTGAACTTGAGTTACTATATGTCTGTCTTTCATTCATCAAACAGATACAATGCATAGAGTATTTCCACATATAGGGTAGATTGGCAACCCTCCTTTACATGTCTCCGTACCTGAAAAAACTTTCAAATTGATCAAGCCCTTCTCCCTTTCTCTATGAAGATGTGCTTTCAATGCTATCATAGAGGGAATCATTGATGCAACAGTGGCTAGTGGACAGCTCACTGACTGGTATTTGATGGTTTCACTGAACAGACCTAAACTGGAGCAGAAGTTCTCCTCTGTAGGATTCTTCACTTCAATTTTTGTAGAATCCATCTTTTTTTGTCGTAAAAGAATGGGTGGTGGATGGCTGTGCTTGTTGTTGACTTTCTTAATGTGTCTATACACAGTCACAGCACGGCCAGGACATTGTCGATTTCTAGCACAGCGCCAATATATGGTTCCTTCCTTTCCATCTCGCACCTTGTTGTATCTGTGTCCATCATACAGTAAAGCAACTCCACCTCGCTGAGTAGCAACATACTGGCAATTCATGCTGTAGAAATGACCAAACTTCACTATGCCACACCCATGAAAACTACTGCAACTAATAACTAATTAAAAATGCTTTTTAATAAAGCAATACCTCACCAACACTATTATTAGTTTTGTTTTACATGGCTGTTATCTCCAAACAATATTCTTTAACACTTTACTTTTAACTGCCCTAACACATGTTTGGTGATTACTCATGCTATAAAACAGGTTGCATGATTAAACACTATTTACTGTAAGATATTTAGTATAAGTCTGATCACTTTTCAATCAATTTTCATTCTACTTTTATAATTGAATACTTTTATTATCTACTGAAAAAGTGTTGTAACTCTAAAACACTTAAATGCTATTCCAAGTGATTAAATACAATATAAACTATGGTAGTAATGTGACTGGGAGAAAAATATAAACTTCAAAGGTGATATTTACAAAAACTTAGTTAACATCCAAAAAATTACTGATATATATTATACTAATATCTCAATATTACAAGCATGAAGCTTTCAGTTTACAATGTGTAATACATATATTTTAGAGTAGAATAAAAAGTTCAGAACTTTTAAAATAATCTGTGTCAGAGGAGATTGATATGCAAGATAATAAAAAAATAGCACAACAATTACATATAAATGTATGTAGTTTTATCATAAAACACACATTTACGGTTACCACAAAATTCATTTTATGATAACCTTAACTTTTATTTGGGTTTTATCTTTTTTGGTCTTTTACACATAGATAAACTTCACTTCACTAATGATAATTTGACTGATGTCAATATTTTGATCAGACTTTATGCTTTCTTTAAACATACAGTGCATTTTAAAACTACAAAGAAAGATGGCAGCTGTAATCTATTCTACATGAGATACACAGTGTAATTTCTTTTCACATATGTGTACTATTTCTACCAAAGACATGAAGTCAGAACAACAGAAACAATTTTGTCTCACCTGAATTAGTGTTAATCTGTCAAAAGGCAGTTTTTTTATGTAAACCTAAAACTTAGAGTGCATATAATAGCAATTATTATTATTTTTAGAACAGACATAAACACATATCAATGTTATACATTTTGTTGTTTTTAACATTTAATCACAATTGTTGAAATAAATAGACAGAGGGTAAT